ACTGCTTGATTGTGTGCCTGGTGGTAACCTCTGCTTATCTGGGTGATGATGGCTGGTGAGGCATCTTTTGTCTCTTTTGAATAGTGTGTAGATGCTGTTTATCTCTATGTGTCTGTTGACGGCCGCCTTGTCTGAATACCATACTTCCAAGAATCCTCTTGCATTTTTGGATTTAGCTTGGTCTAAAATGCTGACAGTTTCCCAGTGGCCTGAAGCCTTGTGATGGATGTGAATTCAGGCATTTCTTGCTCAATGGTGCATTGAAGTCCTTCCAAAGCGGCCACTGAGGTCTGCCCTAGAGTGTCTTGGGAGGTTGAAATACTCTGCCATTGCACTGTTCTTGTTCTGAGTCCTGATGCCAGCCTTGTGTCTATTAATTCTTTTGCACAAAATCTGGGTGGTTGGTCTGATGTAGAATTCAGAGGGGCATTGCTGGAAGATGATGGTATGAAGATTGTGTGAAGGCACCTCTGACCTTGCCTGTGTCCTTGCTGGGGCCTGCAGTGGTGCTGTTGGTGTAGATGTGAGGGCAGAGTAGACATCTGGGTCTGTTGCAGGATTGCATTCCTGGGTTACGCACTCCCTTCGTTGCCTTTCTTTTCTGAGCTGAAAAGCCCCCACTTTGTAGCCTGTCCTTGGAGAGGAGTGGCTTCGGAGAGCCCTGGTTTTGGGACCTGGCTTCCGCTGCTGGTGGCTGTGACCACAGAAAAGTCTGAGTGGGAGCACGAACCCACAGAGTTCTCAGTAAAAGGGCTGCATGCACGCGATGCTTGAAGTGGAGTGACCATTTCCTTTGGGCCTTGCATCCGGCTGACTACATGATGGTTAGCTGAGTTTCCATCCCTTATCTGCCACACAGTTGCAGAATGCGCAACAGGTTAGGGTGGGTTAAATCCCAAGAAAGGGCCCCACGTTGTGAGGGATGCACAGCCCATGAAGGAGAACCTACGTTGTTGACCAAAGTTTCAGAGTTCATCCTTCCAGCCTCCAGTTTCAAGGAGGAGAAGTTTCCTTCTCAGCCTGTTGCTGAGAGAAGAACAGTAGAGCAGAGGTGGTGCATTTCCATGGGCTGGAGAAGGAGAGCATTGGTGGTGCAGCAAAAGTAGAGCATGGCTTCCCTGGACAGGAGCAGGAGAGCCTGCAGTCCGGCAATGGCAGCGCAACGCGCCTCTTGCTGGGGCCCATGTCCTAATGCAGTAGGGCAAGACTAAGGTCCAGCAGCTCAACCCCACCCCCTGTTACTGGGCGTTTCTTTATCATCTGGGGAGGAAGAGAATGCTTTGTCTGGCCTCTCCAAGCGGGAACCTCCTCATGTTTTGGAATACAACTTCCACTGCCTTCAGCTATGCCGGCCATTGGCCGTTTCGGCGAAGGTGTCCCAAGGGAGCTGAAAACCCTGCATTTTGAGAATCTCCATGTGGGTGCTTGAGTTGGGCTCCTCTCTCTCTCTCTCTCTTGCTTGTCTCAGATGTGGAAAGCTGTGGTGGGTCACAATGTGTCTGTGAAGGTGGAGTCCGAAGGAGATGACTGGGAGACGGACCCGGATTTTGTGGTGAGTCCTCTTTGTCCCCAGGCTCCTCATGGTTCTGGAGCTCCAGGCCAAAGGGGCTCTGCGTGGCTCCAACAGGGATGGGCGCAGATGCAGCTCAGGAGGTAGAAAGGGAGGTCTGCTGGGTATGGTCAGAATTTCCAAGATGTTGACCATGATGGTGCATCCTCCCATTTTTATGTGCATTGCACATACTGTAACCCTGTGGACACCTCGAAGCAGGAGTCGTCCTAACCCCCCCCCCCCCCCCCCCCCCCCCCCCACCAAGTGGAGAGGAGGGAAAGAGAGAAATGAGGAGGAACTTTAGAAAGGTTGACTTTATTTATTTATTATCACATTTATATAGCCCCCCATCTCGTGCACATGACTCTGGGTGGTGTAGAATAAAAACAGACCCTAAAAAAACAAACATTAAACTTATACCATAATAAAAACATCAGTATGAATTAAAGGGAGCAGGAGAGAGCATCTGGATATTATGTACAGTGTAGCCATCTCACCAGTTCTCCATTTCCCTGAGATCCCCAAGCCTGCTGACTTAGCCACATTTTAAACGACTTCCAGAAGGTTGGCAGAGAGGGGGCCAATCTCACCTTGGGGGGATGATGTTCCAAAGAGCGGGGGTCACAGCAGAAAAGGCCTGTCTCCTGGGTCCTGCAGGAGACGGGACCTGCAACATCCCTTCCTTGCCAGATCTGATGGGATGGGCTGATGTGATCGGGGAAAGGCGGCCCCTCAGATAACTCGGCCCCATGGCACGAAGGGCTTTAAAGGTCACAACCACACCTTCAGTTGGACCCAGAAGCAAACTGGCACCCAAGGCAGCTCGCAGAGCAGAGGTGTGATGTGTGCCATTCTAGAGGCACACGTAACTGCCCATTTTGTACCAGCTAAAGCTTACAGATACCCTTCAAGGGCAGCCCCATGTAGAGCACATTACAGAAGTCCAACCAGGAGGTGACCAGGGCATGAGTGACTGTGAGCAGGGACCCCCGATCTAGGAATGGGCACAACTGGTGCACAACCTGAAGCTGTGCAAAGGCCCTCCTTGCCACGACTGCCACCTGCTCCTCGAGCAGGAGTTGTGAGTCCAGGAGGACCCCGAGATTGCGCACAGGGTCCGTTTGGGGCAGTGCCCCCCCATCCAGAACCAAAGATGGCATAGTCACAGAAGTGGAAGACCCCAAAACCCACAGCCATTCAGTCTTGCCAGGGTTCAGTCACCCAGCGACTTCATGTAGATGTTAAATAGGAGCGGAGAGAGTACCGACCCCTGCGGCACCCCACATAATAGGGGCTGAGGGCGGGACCTCTCACTCCTGATCAACACCAACTGGTACTGACCCCCGAGAAAGGAAGAGAACCAGCACCATACAGTGCCACCCACCCCCCATCTCCAGAGTCGATCCTCTTCCCCAACAGGTCCGTCAGAAGGGGTGTGTTGAGAATCCCTGCTTTGTAGACAAGATTTTTAAATCCCTTTTTAAAAAAAGCAGGATTGGTGCCTTTGACTTGACTTTCATCAGCCACCCTGTGGGTGAATAAGGTTTCACCCCAATATTTGCCCCAAAGGAAGATGTCTCTTGATTTATGACCATCCCCCTCCTCAAGGAAGCGCATCTCCTGCACAGTGCCCAGCAACCCCAGCCTTGTTAATGCAGACTTGTCAGCTTCAGCCGGAGAAAGCCCTGGAGACCACCCCAGGAAGGGTGTGCATGTATCACACGTGTGTGTGTGCACACGCACACATATATGCATGTATGTATATGTGCCTTCCAGAAGCCACACACCCCAAAAAGAGACAGAATTAATAACTGCTAGTTGCAGGCCTATGAAGTAAGGTGCCCTCTTTTCAAAGTAATTGATTGCCACCCGCATACACCAAGCATTTTCTCTTTTACACAAAACCGCAACACGCAAGTAGGCTTGTGCACCTCTGCTCCGCCCAGCAGAAACAGCTAAAGAGATGGGAAGAAAAACCCAGGTGAACACAGGTGAGAGGAGGGGGAAACTCTGCGGTAGGAAGGCCCGTTAGATAGTATTGAAAAGGGGGCATGCACCGGACGAAGAGCTCCTCCAAAGCAGCAGCTCGTTGGCATAGCCCTGGTTTGCAGGAGCGACCTCACCAAGCTGGGCACCCCTTGGCTGTTCCATCTGCTGCTTCTATTCTTAGTGAATCCCAGGCAGTTCTTGGGGGAAGCCTCCTCTTCCTGTGGTGACCTAGTCCAAGAGACATTTCAGGTCTCCAGAGGCAAATTGCTGGGTCTTGTGCAGGGAGGCAGCTGGAGAAGCAGGAACAAACCCCCAGGAGCAGAGGTTTGAGGTCAGGTTTCCAGGTTTGAGCCCAATCATCTGGAGAGATGACCCTTGTTAATTGCCCATTAACCAACTGGCCCTTGGGCTCCTTCCGAGCAACCACTGATGTGTTCTTGAGCAGCCCTGGCACACTGGTCAGCTACCGGGCAGTTGTCCCTTGGCAAGGAGGAGGTGGCTTTCATCTCAGACAAGGTGTTCTGACCCGGGACCAACCAGAGCAACATCTGGAATGGGGCAGGCACCTCACCATTGGATGGAAGACTTTCAAAGGGTAGGCCAACTGTAGCTGCTTGGAGGAAAGAGGGCAATGAGCCAAGATTCTCCTATTTCTCAACTTCTGCCTTCCATCCAGATCGTAATGCCAGCTTGTGGTAGTGGGGGTAAGGCAAACTCAGCCCTTCTGGTTTGAGATCACCCATTCCAGCTGAAGTGGTCTAGCTCACCTTGTGGGCAGAGATTCCCAGACTTGGACCTTATTCATGCTCTTCCTCTTCCCACCCTGGGTAGGATGACTCCATAATAGGTCCAAGGGCAAAGGCTTTGAAGCCAAAAGCAAAGGGACATCCCAACTTTATAGGCAGATGCTTTGCATGAGGTCCTTCTTGAGATGCTGCCCTCATGCACACAGCAGAGAACACTTTCTCTTGTTGCCCGTCTCGAGGTATATGAAAAAGATGGTGAGTGAACCGCTGCAAGGCTTGGGGAAACCCCCCCCATATCTGGCATGTCCTAATCAATGATTTTTTACTTTTCTGACTTGGGTTCTCTCTTTGGCAGAATGACATTTCGGAGAAGGAGCAGAGATGGGGGGCTAAGACTATTGAAGGCTCTGGCCGTGCAGAGCACATCAAGTGAGTGGCTTCTCCTCCCCGCCTTCCCTTTCGTCCACCTTCAACGTCTCTGGGTCAAAGTAGGCCTCTGACCCCTGAAACCCCTTGCCCCAGATTGGCTGTGCACAACTCACAAGCTGTGTCCCCTCTGGAGCCTGCTCTTGCGGGGCCCTGAGGCCGCGGCTGATTCCAGTTCACCTGGGAGAGACTCAGGGGCGTCCACAGGCTGTGGCCAAAAAGTCAGGATGCACATAAAAGACAGGTGGAGTTTCGATCACACTGATACTGCCACCATCTTGACTTTTATGACCCTGCCCTGCAGATACCCCTGCAGAAAATGAACCCCTCTGTGATGCTGTGTGGTTGCTACATGTCACATAACGGAGTGGGGGCTCCGTTATGCCAGTTGCAAAGCACAACAGAGCTGACCTTGTGGGGCCAGGAGCTCAGCTGCATCATTCTAATCAGGCGCATCGCTCCTTCGGCCCCCTCCCCTTTCCAAGTCTTGCCAGATGGGAGGGGCATCATTTTGACTTTAAGTCTAGGACGACCGATGCCTTCAGTTGCCTTTGGGCCTGGGGCTTGTAATGCATCGTGGGCGATCACAGCCTGCCCAAAGTCGCAGCAGCACCTCCACAGCCCCACTGAAAGGGGTGCCTCCGTGTCCCAGGCGGGTCGGCAGCCTGGACTGAGCTTCTAGTTGGACTTCCTGGGTTGGTGGTTACCGTGTCAGTGTCTCCTCGCAGGAAAAGGAAGTGGTGTTTTCACCCAGCAGTTTGCCAAATAAGGGCTGTGGGAGGCCAGCGGCAGCGAAAGTCAGAGCTGCTAGCGGGGCAGAGGAGTCGAGCACCGAGAGGAAGAGCAGCTTGTTGACTCTGAGCCATGCAGGCAAAGGCCGGCCACGTCCACAAGTGGAAAGTGTTATTTTGGGCACAGTTCCCCACCCCCATCTCTGCCTTTGGGGACTAGAAACCATTGGCAGGAGGAGTCCCCCACTTCTGAAGAGCCACAGCTCAGATTCCTGGAAAAGGGTTCGCCCTGCCCCTGCCCAGAGACACTCTCCCAGTGCATGGGATTACAACACCCACCTTCCCCAAACAGCATGGAATTTGCAGTCCAACCCAGAAGGCCCTAGGTTGGGGAAACTGGTGGATTTCATCCGGGGAGGCCAGGCTGTGCTTCAACTTCTTCTGCATTAACGGAGCCTTGGTGGCCTGGAACTGATCCGGCTTCCTTGTTCTGTCCTCGGAAAGCAGAGCGAGTGACCCCCTTCCTCTTTTCAGCAAACTTCTGTATCTCTTCCTTATTTATTTGGAAGGATGCAGAATTGCTTCTTTTCTTAAGCTTGGATGACATCATACCCCTTGCTTTTTGTGATTATTTCTCCTCTGTAGCAATTTATCTCGGCAGCCCAGACGTCTTCATTTGACCAGGGTTCTCCTGCTCTGGGCAAGGCTTTGTCCATCCGTTTCTCACAAGTATAAATGCCCGGTTCTTGCTTTGGCTTCGTTCTGTCTGTCTGCATCTGCCTTTCCCTCCCAGTTCATGCTCTAAACCTTATCACACACAGGCAGCTACAAAGAGAAGAAGTATGGCTTGGTAGTTTCCTTGCTCATTCATTGATTCATTGATTAATTCATTGGTTCATTCATTCATTCATTCGTTCATTCATTCATTCATTCATTCATTCATTCATTCATCTATTCTACTTATATACTGTCAAATCAATCAAAATTTGTGGAGTTTTACGCCATACACATCAACAACCACATCATTAAATGGATCGGCCAGGCTAAGAAATTAAGAAATTGATAGCTTGCCTCGGAACTCACTGCTTCCTTCACCTACTTCCTTCCTGAGCAGATTTTCTGCCTCCCCATCATACAGGCTCCTTTGAGGCCAGTCCAATCAGTCCCACATCTGCCTGGGCCCTCACTGACTCCAAGCATCATTGCACAAGACCTCAGGAGAGAAGATCTACCCCAGTGTTTCTCAACCTTGGCAACTTGAAGATGTGTGGACTTCAAGTCCCAGAATTCCCCAGCCACCCATGCTGGCTGGGGAATTCTGGGAGTTGAAGTCCACACATCTTCAAGCTGCCAAGGTTGAGAAACACTGACCTACCCTATTTGGGCTGTAAAAATCCAGATGACCAGTAGATGGGAACATAGAGCATTGCCTGCCTAGAGAAATAATGGCTTGCCCTACTGGAGAGGAGACAGAAACAGAAAAAGGGGAGTCCACCAGAGGACAGAGGTAGAGAGAAGGCAATTTTTAAAAAAAAATCTAGACTGGCTCAGGGTAGACTTGAACCTGGTTCTCTGCAATCCTAGTCCAGCCCCTTAATCATTATATCATACTGCCTCTTTGCTATTACTCTACATCCTGAAATTGTCCCTCAGCTCCTAAAAGCATTTCTAGCTAAGATAAAGTGTTTTCCAGGCACCCTATTCCTAATTTTCCAGGAGGAAAATACCTTTTACCTAGCTTGAAATTAGCAGTTGGGTTGAATCCTTTCCATTATGGCCTTCTCCTCCTCCTCCTCCTCTTCAAATCCTTCTGTTTCTTTTCTCTTTTCAGCATCCACCAGCTAAGAAGCAAGGTGTCTGAGGAACATGAAGTTCTCAAGAAGAAGGAGCTGGAAACGGCACCCAAAGCTTCATATGGTTATGGGGGCAAGTTTGGAACTGAGAAGGACCGCATGGACAAGGTACAGACTGGATGTAGACCTCTGTTCTTTGTACACTGCCAAAGTTTGGGATAGGTCCTTGTTGGTTTTGCATACACACAATAAATATAGGGCTTGGCTGAGTTTGAAAAAAGCTAAGTTAGCATATAGATGGGGCTAGCAGGAAGTCCTAAGACTCTCAGTTGGAAAACTGAAAACCCCTCCCAGAAGAAGACAACCACAAAGCTCTTCCATACTGTTGCCAGGAAAACAATATGAAGTTATGAGCAACGGGGCTCAGGGGAACTTACATTTTTATTTGCACACTCAGAATGTCTCTGCTGCCCTCGCCACTCTGTCCTCTGTCTCAAGCTAACCCATAGACTTCTTCAACTGTGGTTCTTTGAATAAATTACAGTTGCCCAAGTTCTCAACAACACGCTAAACTGAAGCCGGATCCACCAAATGATGGCCTAGTACAATGCGTGAATCCTGTCCTTAAGACCTGCAGCACCACCACTGGTGTCCTCTGTGATGTCCTGAGAGCAACAAGGGCACCCATTTTGTGCAGGGTCAATTTCTGCTGCAGGCCGTGGTTCTTCTGAAAAAATAGGGAGGGCAGTTCTTGTTCATTGTTCCCAGATGCATCATTCATTAAAAAAAAAAAATCAGATGAGATCCTACGATAATTCTTAGAGGAAAAACTTAGGTGAGATTGTTCTTGGGGTCCTTAATTATTGCACTTTCTCCCATTGAACTACCAAGAGTTTCCTTCCTTGGATCTTCACGGCCTTTTCTCCTGAGCTTGTTCCTGAATGAATACAATCAAGGCAGCCTGCAAAAATCCAGGGATTTCCCCCTAAGGAGGCTCCATGCAGACTTGCCTTGAGGCTCAAAACATTTAAATTCTTTCCTCCTCTCCCTTTTGAAGTTCTCTCAGCTGATCTGCGTCTGGCCTTTTGCCCAGCTTCTCTTCCCCGCAGATGCCAGAAATGGGTGCTTCTTGGCCTGCTGGAGAACTTCTCCTCTCAACCAGCAGTGGGTGTGCAAGGTGGTAACCCTGGTCTTTCTTGGTTCTCCAGAGCGCCCTGGGCCATGAGTACGTTGCCGAGGTTGGAATGCACTCCTCTCAGACGGACGCAGCCAAGGGCTTTGGCGGAAAGTACGGCGTTCAGAAGGACCGAGCAGATAAGGTGGGAATGGCTTCCTCGCCAGTGTGGGGCTAAGCTCCCCATGACACCCTATTTTGGTTTATTTCCTTAAAGGAAATATGGCCACCCAACTCTCAAAATTGCGACTCTGGGTGGTGGACAACAACAAAAGCAGAATTGCAGTGCAACACAACTCCATGGAAAACGCAGCCACTGAACACGGTCAGGGTACATGAACACATGCTCCATGTCGTGGGACCAGCTCCTCCAACGTCCCAGCTCCAGCGCCTAAGGGAACGGTCTTCCAGGCCCTCTTGAAGGCTAAGAGGGTTGGAGCAAGTTGGCTCTCAGGAGGGAGACCGTTCCAAGGGCAATGCGGTCACGGGGAAAGGCAGGCTTCCTAGGTCCCTAGGCTGGCTGGGGAATGCTGGGAGTTCAAGTCCACACATCTTCAAGTGGCCAAGTTTGCAAAACCCTGCGTTAGGGGAATCAGTACATTGTGTCTATTGTCAGTGGAAAAGAAAGGAATAAAAAAAATACCAACATTTAACATTTTATTTGTTTACTTATTTAAAGTATTTCTACGGGCACCCAACTCAAACCACGCGGCTGGGTGCTGTACAAAAACCAGTTTAAAAAAGGCAGCATACAAAAGAAGAGCTGAGCATGCCCCTAAAGCAAATGAAAACGAAATGGTGATCGGAGGCTAAAAATGGAGGAGCAGAGTTCCACCGAAGGGGGACTCTGCTCCTCCTGACCTCAGTGCCCGAGGAGATGGACAAACGAACTAAGGCTCATTAGAGTGGCTGATTTTATCTTCTCAGACACATTCGATCAAATGGAGTTTTTCAGTCAACATGCTTTGGAGATGCGGTCACAAATGGGGCTTCCTTTGGAAGTGAGGTGTCTCCTCCTCCTCCTCCTCCTGCTGTCTCTCGAGGACATTAGGTGACCCCCAGCAGCCCAAGGAGCAGCATTTAACCAAACTTCTTTGCAGCCCCCTTCCTGCCTCCATCTCTCCCCATGTTGTTTTCTGCCCACTCAACATTCAGGGCATGCAACTGCTTGGTTGATGGACTTTGTTGTTCAACTTTGTTGAAGTTGTCGACTCTTAGTGACCAATAAAATTGGCTATAATTACTCTGAAGGGGGGTCTGTATAATGTGTGTTGCTTTCCCTTCCCTGCAGTGTGCAGTTGGCTTTGACTACAAGGGCGAGGTAGAAATGCATACCTCCCAGAAAGGTAAGTTTTGAGACCCCCAGGTTTCTGGGCATTCCTCCCTGTGCCTTCTCCTGGGGGCCTGTTCCCACAGCCACTGCCCAGCAAGAGGGGCCCAAGGACGCCAGTTGTCACTGTCACTGCTGCATCAGTCTCTTCTGAGGGGTCGTGCACCACCAGGTTCATATTCTGGTGCTCAGTCTCCTGGGACCCACTGGGGGAGAATGAAACGGGTTGGTGTGGAATGGAAACTTTTCAGGCCATCCATTTCATTGACCTTCTGAAAAATGCTGTGTCTGCCCACTGCAGACCACGCTGTTGGATTTGGTGGGAAATACGGTGTGCAGAAGGACCATCAAGACAAGTCTGCCCTGGGTTGGACCCACAAGGAGGAGGTCAAGCCCCACGAATCCCAGACAGGTCTGTAGAAAATGTGGGTGGGATGAAGCTACAGCCAGGTGGTGGTCCTGTAATTTCATCTCAATCAACCTCTCGTGTCCCTTTGTCTTTCTGAAAAATGCTGTGTCTCCCGACTGCAGACTATGCCGTTGGATTTGGGGGGAAGTACGGTGTGCAGAAAGACCGTCAAGACAAGTCTGCCCTGGACTGGTCCCATAAGGAGGAGGTCAAGCCCCACGAATCCCAGACAGGTCTGTAGAAAATGTGGAGGGGACAAAGCTGGCCTTGGGGATAGAGAAGATATGAGTGAGCCATTAAGGTGGAACCTGGAAAAGTGATTACACAGTCCAGTGTTTGAAGGAAACATGGGAAAAAAATTCAAACCATCCCATCTTGATTTTGTTTAGTATAAGATGGGTCAGAGAGAAATTCTGACAGGCTTTCAAAATTCTGTCATTATACCCTACAGCAGCAAGGCAGCATTCCTGGAATCTGTATCTTGACCTGGCCTACTTCAAAGGGCCGACTAGTGGAATCCCTCCCTGGGAGCTGCAAGTTCACCTTGTTTCATTTCAACTGACCTCTCATGTCTTTCTGAAAAATGCTGTCTCTCCCCACTGCAGACCACGCTGTTGGATTTGGGGGGAAGTACGGTGTGCAGAAGGATCGTCAAGACAAGTCTGCCCTGGGCTGGGCCCACAAGGAGGAGGTCAAGCCCCACGAATCCCAGACAGGTCTGTAGAAAATGTGGAGGGGACGAAGCTGTGGCCAGGTGGTGGTCCCACTAACCAGCTCCCTTTAGTTCTGGATGGCCCCATGTGTTGCCTGGGGCCAACATGCACGATGGATTGCCTTTCTTCCCATTAGTCTGCTACATGAGCCGCCTCCCCGAGCATGAACAGGAACCCTAGAATTGGAAGGGGCCAACCCCTGCTCAGGACAGGAATAGAAATTTAAGGGTCCCAGAGAGATGGCTGTCCAGCCTCCACTTGGATACCCCCAGGGAAGGAAGGTCCATCTGTCTTTGGATCATCGTGTTTTCCCTGTCAAAACAGGGAGAGAGCTTTGGTTGAGAGGTAATGACAAGCCCACGCCACACCGAAAGACTTAGAAAGCTTTAGGACTTACTCCCCTTGCAATGCACTGGCTGCATTCACACAGCCAGGTCACACAGCCAGCTCAGCTGAAGATTTAGTGGGTGCATTCACATGAGAAGCTAAGTTTGCTAACCTTGATGCAGTTTTGTGTTTGTGATTCAATCCATCATGCAGACTCAGACAATGCCTAATTTATTTTCCAATTTCTCCCTGGGAGCTGCAAGTCCTTCTTGTTTCATCTCAATTAACCTCTCGTGTCTCTTTGTCTTTCTGAAAAATGCTGTGTCTCCCCACTGCAGACCACGCTGTTGGATTTGGGGGGAAGTATGGTGTGCAGAAGGACCGTCAAGACAAGTCTGCCCTGGGCTGGGCCCACAAGGAGGAGGTCAAGCCCCACGAATCCCAGACAGGTCTGTGGAAGGAGGCGGGGCTGGGTAATCTCTTGGAAGAGCATAAATATGCAGAATGGAAACAAGATTCTGGTATCTTTTAACTGAGGTCCACGAGGTCCAGTACCTCCTTTGCAACTTCAAGGTTCTGGGTTCTTCTCCAGAACTCTGAGGCTCCAGGACGTGAGAGAGTTGGTGAATCAATAGAGGTGAATATGTGTAGCTCAGGGTTCAACTGTGGAGTCTTGGGGTTCTCTGAGCTCAGAGAACCTCAAGGACTCCAGAGTTGGTGGAATTGCTGCCAAACAGGAAGCAGCTAAGGACAGCAGATAGACTGCATGTTTGGCACCTTTGTTATTCTCAAAGGTCCTGCTCTTCTCCTTGTTTCTTGGTTGTGTTTGCATCTGCTGCAGAGAGGCAGGTGGTGTCTGCAGAACTCTACCAGAACAGCAATTCTAGCCACCTTGGTTGTGTCTCTGCCTTTCTGAAATCTGCTGTATCTACACAGCCAGTTTAGGTAGGAGGTTGGTGGTAGAGAAAGACTCAGTCATGCTCAATCAGGCCTGGGCTGTGCACATAAGGAGAAGGTCAGACCCATGAGTCCCAGGTGGGACTAGGGAAGGAGATGAGATGTATTATAAAGTGTGCAATCTAGTTTTAACTGTGCAAAGTGGTCCTGGTATGTCAACATGCACATTGGGGTTGTACTTCTTTGGTGGTTTCTAGTGTTAAATAATCAGCTTTATCACCCACACCACAGCGCCCAGTGCCAACTCTTTCAATGCAGCGCCAGGCCCCTCAGAGGCAGACGGATGCACAGTGACTGAGATGGAAGGACTCCAAGCCCAACTTTCTAAGTTGAACTCATGCTTCCACCTTCCATAAAAAGTTGGCTATTTTCTCTATTGCAGACTATTCCCAGGGCTTTGGAGGCCGTTACGGGGTGCAAAAAGACAGAGTGGACAAGGTAAATGGTGACTGAACCTGGGATGGACTCCACTGGGCCTTGATGGTGGAAGAAGGTGCCCAGGAGAACACTAGCACATTTCAAACTGTGTACCGTGAATGCTTCCCCTAATTCTAGCACCAACACTTATTCTCATAATTTCAAAATATTAAGAGTTCAGGAGAGCCTTTCCCAATCTTTTCCCCTGCAGATCTGTTGGACTACAGCTCCCATTCATTACAGCCAGGGTGGCCATAGCTTCCTCCTGCCCTTTTGCAGTGGACTTATGCTGCCAGGGGGTGCGCAGGGAGGGAAAAAAAGTCGAGATGTCACCCACTTCTGCCCGATGGAAGCCCCACCCCACCCCACCCCACCCCTTTTTTAATGTGTGTCTTGCATGAGGCATATGTAAAAAGAGGGGAGGGAGTCTGTGGGTCTGGGCATGAGCTCCATGTTGCCTTTTTTGACCCCCTGCAGACACTGTTGTTGCTGCATCCCTAAAGTGGTGCCAGCAAGCTGCATGGCAGCCATTTCCAACATGACTTAAAAGGAGAAAAACCTGTTTTAAGTGACCTGCAGGGTTCTCAGATTCGTTGGGAGGAGAATAAATCAGGAAGGGGGCTGATAAATCCAGAGCGATGAACAAAAAAGTCCCCAGCGTGGGGGCAACTGCTTTGCAGAGAGAGGCCCAGGTGAAACCTCACATCTTCCATTGGATCCGGACCGAATGTGTTTTAATGAGAGGAAGGGAGAAGAGTTCGATTTGGCCGGGCGCCGGGTGTGCGTGGGCCTGAGGACCTTAACATTTGCCCCCTTTTGGATCTCTTCCCCAGGTGACTTGTAGTCCCACACTGAATCTGGAAGGCAGGAGATCTGGTAGAACGTTTCGCTGCTCTCTAGCCGGCTTCGCTTAGTCGATTTGCACGCTGTGTTTTCTTCTGTGGAGCCCAGGGAACAACCTCACGATGGGGAGGGAAAGTGGGGGCTGTTTCTCTGTTGACCCTCACTGGGCCCAACTTTTCATAGTGTTGGCACAACGGGGCATCTCCAGCTCTGGCCTTCAATTATAGTCTCCTAGGCTTGTCAGAGACCCTAGGGGAGCCGTGGGGAGACCAGCTGCGGAAAGAGCTGGGATTTGAATAGACCAGCCTTGTGGATACGTTTAGTGTCCAAGCGGTTGCATTTGGACCAGGGTGGCTTTGGATCAATCTTTCACTCCCTGTCCGTCCTCCATCATGGGATTGTGGTTGGGAGAGATTAGTAGGGGAAGACCCTGTATGCTGCCTTGAGCTTCCGGAGAAAAGGTGGATATAAATGCAAACAGTAGTGAGGAGGGGAGATGAGAATTGTTCCAAAGACACATTGAGGGGTAAACGCTACAGGCCAGTTGATCCTGTAAACACAGCTCTGCTATGGAGCTGGAGGTTCTGGGGTACCTCTGTGTAGTCCACCTGGGCTTTCCCCTGACTTCTCTTGCAGAGCGCTGCTGGTTTTGGAGAAATGGAAACTCCCATCTCCTCCTATCAGAAGACCAAGCCTGTAGAGGCTGGTGAGTTTTGCATGGGCATCTGGAAAGGCTGGGGAGGTGATCTCATGGAGAGTGAGAAAATGGCCCTTCCTCACCCTTGACAAGGGGGACATGGACTCTGTCCATGCAACTTGGTTGCTAGGATGATGGCTGTACGACCCTGAGGATCTGGACCTTGAGGGTCTGCAACAGTGTTACTTGGAAGCTGCTGGCAACTGGGGCAGGTTTGCTCTCTTGGGTTGACTTCACAGGTGGCAACTGCAGGGGAACTGGTTTCACCTACAAATGAGATGCTTTCTGAGGGAGTGAAGGGGTGGCCCCCCTGCACGTGAGGGGTTTAAGCAGAGGCTGGATGCTTAATAGCAGTTTCTCTTCTGAAGACCAGTCAATCAGAGGACCTACCCAATCCCACCTAGGGATAATCCTGTGTCACCTTTTGGCTGGAGATGGAGGAGGCTTCTTCTCACGTTGCTGAAACCCCTCTATTGACCTTCTCCTTGGAAACAGCTTCTGCTGGGACGGGTAACTTAAGACAACGTTTTGAAAACATGGCCAAGACAGCAGAGGAGGAGAACAAGAAGAGGGCAGAGGAGGAGCGAGACCGACGCCAGGCCCGGGAGCTTCAGGCGGCCCAAGTGAAGCCGAAGGTGAGGGCCTGACTAGGCCTGTTCTCCATCAATCATCTGAAACCGGGGTCTGGGCTGACCTCTGGGGAGAAGCCCTTCTTGGTTTAGGATTATTGCTAATTGGTATCACAGCCTGCCCCTCAGAATAAATCACAGACGTGAAGCTCACGTTCAGGCCTGGCCATGTGAGTCTTCACCTTCACTCCATGAGTTGAAATTTCTGTACTCTTCAAGCCATCTAAAGGAGTAGATGAGGACCAACTAATTCCATAAGAACTTGGTGATCTCTACATGGGAGGGCCTTTTCACAGACATTCCTCTCTTTGTGGAAATGGAAGCGTTCCTTGGAAGCACATGGGCACATAGCATTCTTTGAATGACCAGTTTCCTCTGCTGGGCATCAGGATGAGGTCATAGAATCCAAGAGTTGGGAGGGACCTCAGAGGCCATGTAGCCCGAACCCCTGCTCAAGGTCGGATCCATCCCAGTGCTGCAGTTGTGGAGAAAATGGGCAGCAGCTGTCTCCAGGATCCTGACAATAACAGGGTACAGCTTCTCCACACTGGATTCACTTCTGCAGAACTAAGGCTGGAAGGGAGAAAGCAGAACGGGAGAGCTAAGCGAAGGCAGTGCCCATTTGTGGCTACATCATGCGCCTTGCAAGTGAGCCAATGTGGTGATGACCAGTGGAAAGTTAATATAGGCTGAGCCTAGCTATCTTCCCCTGGTACGTTCACACACTACTTCTCTTCAGGGATGAGTGAACATTGGGCCGGTGCCCAAAAGGGGTATCAGGCTTCCCTATCAAGCGGGACTGGAACCAGGGAGGCAGGTTCACAAGCATCCAGGAGATCTTTCTTGAAGCCGTAATGAAAGCGTTCTAGCCACTGCTGGGTTTCAAGAGCAAGCCCCATTTAGAGACACCGTGTTGAAACCTTTTGCCCCTCCTCTCTCTTCTCGGACTGCCTGATCCTTCTGACTGTCTGGGAAGCAACTCTCATGAAAGGGGCCCCCAGCTTCCCCCCACTGCCCAGGTCTTTCCAGCCTGTTGTTCCCACAAAGGTTTTTACCCTAGAGGGTTAGAAAAACAGCCCAAGGAAGCGGATCAAGGAAAGATAGGCCTGCAGGAACAAATTGCTGAATGTCTTTCTCCTTTAAGGAATTGAAGAAAAGCGAAGCGCAGGTTCCGAGCCCTCCATCGGTGCCTGGACAGGCGCACAGAGGTAGCCTGCCCCCTCTGCCTCCCGAGCACCAGGTAGGAAGACGGAGAGCGTAATGCCTGAATGTGAATTCACGGGTACCCCATTGCACGGTCACTCAGGAGGAACATGCTGTACACGGCCAACTTTCCAGACCGCTTCTGCGCGCCTGACGGTGCCACAAAGTCTCTGCTACAGCTGGGGAAGGGCTGATGGTTTGGCTAGATTAGGAAGCACAAGGCTGAGTGTGCCTGGGATAAAAGCGGGCCCTGGTTGGGCTTGTGGCAAACCGACTGGCCCTGTCCTTGTGGTTAGCAGGGCGTGGCGCCCTGGCACGGGTGCAACGAAGGCTGGTCACCTCATCTGCCCCTTCTGCAGATGGCGGGTTGTGAGGCCTCTTTCGATCAAAGTCCTGCTGGGTGGCGGAGGTCCATGTCCTTTCTGTATTGTGGAACCAGGTACAATCTGGCCGGTGCAGCATAGAGGGTGCTATCCCTTCCTGTGATCTTGACACTGCCCCTCGGTTCATGCAACCCAAAACTGTGTTTCTAAGTGTTGCAAACCCATTGCTTGATTACTTTTTCTAGGCTTTTTCCAGGTATTGATGCCAAGCTGATTGGCCTGTAGTTTCCTAGGTCCACTTTCCCCCCTTTTTAAAATATTGGACCATCATTGGCTCTTTTCCAGTCTCCTGGCATTTCCTCTGTGCTCCAGGGTTTCTCAGATATTTCAGTCAGTGGCCTGGAGATGACATCTGCAGTGGGGTGGGATGGGGGTTCAACCTGCCTGCTCATCGTATGAGATATGGAAACTTGCTCCTCTCACCTAAACCTCTGGCTGCTTTCAAAGGCAGAGAGGCGGAAGCAAATTCCGTCCGGAACAAGACAGCCAGGAATTCAAGAAGTCCACCTCGCTTACTTGCCTGCCCACCCACCCAAACCAGAAGCACATCTTGCCCTCAGCTTTGTCATGCCGTGTGGAATTTTTCTGTCTGTAATTCTGAGCAAAAGGTTGTCATGCTAAGCCGGTCTAGTCAAATTCTGGTTCTTCAGGGGCAGAAAAATAGACTTGACGGGAAGTGAATCTGATGAGGGAAGTGGTTCTTCTTTTTGCAGGACGAAGAGGAAAAGGAGCATCCGCCCGTTCTTCCCCCACGGAGCCTGGACTTGCAAGAGGACATCAGGGAGCCTCCTCTCCCGCCCTCCGGCCAGCAGCAGCAGCAGCAGCAGCAGCCCACCTATGTTGAAACCATAGAGTATGGGGGTGATTATGAGGAGGTGATTGGAAACGTGGACTACCTGGAACCTCCTCCCTTTGCTGACAATGATGATGAAGGAGGGGATTATGAGGAAATGCCGGACCATAAGGAAGTTTCCAATGATGACAGTGCTGATGTGGACCAGGACTACGAGGAAATCCCCAGTGGTCTCCCTAGAGGAGCGGCTTCTCCAGGTGAGAGGAGGAGGAGGGCAGGCTGGCCGTGGAGGGGTGAGCTTTACCTTCACACTGAAGACTCAAGTCTTAATGTAAATTTGCAGCACTCCCTGGTCATTGCTTTATGAAAATTGGGCTAGAGAAGGTCAGCCACTTGGTCATATGTTGAATTTGAGGATGAGACTGCACTCTGAAGAGTTGTCTTAGTTCTCTGGCTCCTCTTTTAAGAGCATCCCAACTCCCTCAGAATTCAGGATGCAGAATAATTAAATCACAGGAAGACAAATTCCCTTTGCACGTTACAAAAAACCTTGTAAGGGTAGGAGCAGGAAGAGAAGTGGTAAGTTCCACTTCACTGGATGATCTGAAGCATTCTTGATAGGCATTGCTTGGAGATGCTTTAATTTAAATTATTGCACCGTTAAGTGTGGGACCGGTTGAGCTTCAACTCTAAAGCCAGGATAGTTCCGATGATAGTCACAGTAACATATCCATCTCCATGACCTTCTTTTTCAGGCGGTGAAGAGCCTGTATATGATGTGAGTGAAGGAAACTTATCTGCTATGGCCCTCTATGACTACCAAGGAGGTAGGTCAACTCTTCTGGATAATGGGGGCTGGGAAGCGAATAGAGGTGGCCATGATGGGTGATGCTTATCCTTGGTCTGAACAAGTGTTTCATGCTAATTAATGCCTTCCCCATTTTTTTCCAGAGGGGGATGATGAGATTTCCTTTGACCCTGGAGATACCATCACATCCATTGAACGGGTGGACGAGGGCTGGTGGCGTGGATGCTGCCACGGCAGGGTTGGCCTATTCCCAGCTAACTATGTGCAGCTCCTTCAGTGAGGCTTTGCATAACGATGCATGTTCATTATCTGCTTCTCCAGTGCCCTCGTCTTACTTGCCGTGTGACCCAACAGGTCTCAACCCCGTCCTGAGGTGGGGGAAGTGGAGAAGACCTGCCTCCTCTTGCAGTGGAACAATCAGATGCTTCTCCTTCCTAGAGCAACTTGTATGTCTCCAGGTCTGCCCTCCTGCCGTTCCAGTCATGCTGCTGTCTCTGAACTTATCCAGGACACAACTGGATTTGTTCAGCCTCTGGCACTGGATCCCCACAATCCTCCCCCACTCAATCTTTCTGCGGCTACTGATTCCATCCTGCTAAATCTCTCAGGGACAAAGGGAAAAAGTGCACTGAAGCTCAGTGGGGTTAGAAATATGCAGAGTAGTTGTGTTCATGCAACATGTTCCACCCAAATTGTGTTTTAAGACAACACAGGGGTTTTGTTCACATAACAAACTTGCCTGAACAAATCAGTCAGGCTGAGATGATGGGCCGGTTCACACCCCACACCAAGCCTATGGCTGATCCATCAACTGGTTTCATCTGGTGTTACACACTGTGCAAACCCAGCAAGTGGGTCCGAGGGAGGGACGTTCTACTCCTCTGCTTTGGGCACGTGCTGCAAAACAAGCCTCTCGTGCCTCTGAATGTGGGGTGTCCAGCTACGGAAGCCACGTCTCCCCCTTTCCCCAACTTGGATGCCACCCCACCCTTGGACCTCAGCCTCCCTAATTCCTGACCAATGTGCCTGGTGGGAAACAGATCTCATGGGCTCTCATTCTCATAGCTTGCACTCCTACCTGTGAAAAATAGAGGAAGTATCATATTAAGTCTAAATAATAAAGGAGCAAAATTAAATACATTTAAATCTAAAGGTGTTTAATTTCCCAGTTAAATGTCAGTCTATGAAAGAGCATGCGCGCTGCCCATTTGTAGCTACAGATACCCTGGTGTCTGGGGATCTTTGATGGTTGGCTCAGCTGAAGCTTTGTCATTGGAGGTCCAAGTGGGACACTCTTCCCCAGTGTTGCTCCTCGCTGGAAATGGAACTTGGTCTTTAATGTTTCAATTGTGTAGGATTCTGAGTGAGCCCAAACTCCCCCCTGGTCCTGGGCTGATGCCACCTCCCCTTGCCAAGACCGTGAGACCCTTCAGATGAAATTCTCTCTTTCTGAAGGAAGAGCTGTTGGTCCTGCATCTTGAAACATACAAGCCAAACCAGGGAAGGTGGATCCTCCACGCCTCGTCATTCCATCTCAGACAGAGCAACAAAGTCCCGTGTAGATAAGTAAATAGTTCCTCCCATTATCCTCATCCAGCTGAATTCATTGCCTCACACAATCTTCTCTTTGTCTAATGCAACTCTATCTCCCTCTGTCCCTGCTTGCCCCCTGAAAAGCTGATGCTCCTTTGGGAAATTCTGTGCCCCATTTTACACCCAAGGCTGGTGGCAGTGGAGAGTGCATTGAAGAGAGGAGAGATCCTGCTGCAAATATCCTGAACAATGTTTTGGAGGTTGATGGCAGAAAGTTCTTCAGATGTTTTGTGTTTTGTTTTTTCCCCCTTTCATTATTAAAGGACTAAACCAAAATGGGGACCTGGAAGGAGGAAGTTTAGGGCCGGCTACATCTCAAAGTGTACGGGACTGCCTGAGCAGATTCTAGCTGCCGGTGTTCCCTCTCTCGTTCCCCTCCCTTCTCGGCCCTCCCATACTGACAGGACGGCCCAACTGCCAATCAAACAGCAGCTGCCAATCAAACAGCAACACTGGGCAAGATGCCTGCCTGGGAGCTGGGCAGCCACAGGTCTCATGGCAAACAGAATAAACAGAGCCCAGGAGTAAATATAAAGAGCCAAACTAAGGAATAGGCAGACTCCACCCAACCAAGCCCAGCTGAGCAGGAGGCAAGGAAAGGGAGGGAGGAAGACGCTGAGAAAACGGGGCCATGGGAGGTGCTTTCCTTCCCTGAGGTGGAGCCAAGATTGGGAAAAGTCCAGGAGCCCCGTCAGGAAAAGGTGGAGAAAAAGTCAGGATGTGACCGAACAGAAATAGAAAACAGAAATTAAAAGGAGTGTAGCTCTGTGGAGAGTGCCTTACAGATGTACAGGGCTTAAGAGCACAGAACAGAGAGGTCAGCCGTAAACAAACATATCAGAGATACAGAATAGAAAGATGTGAAGATATATAGTGAAACTGAACTTGAAAGATTGTAGTAGAGACAAAGAGCTTATGCAAAGTAGTAAAAATAGAAAATAGCTTTATTGTTAATTTCCGCACGAGTTGAAGGCGTTTGTTTATTTATTTGTCCAATTTATATGGCTGCCCATCTCAGATTAATGACTCTGGGTGGCTAACAATGTTGAAAGTGTAAAATAGAAAAAAACACACATAAAACAGCAGCCGGGGTAGAAAGATCCATCAGTAACAACACAACCAATGCACGGGCTTCGTTTGTATTTTTGTAAGTTTTCCTTTTGTACAACAAAAGTCTCCTCCAGCCATTGAAGGGAGATACAAAAAACCAGCCAGTGGTCCAGGTTTCCAGTGCTTTGTGCCTTCATTGAGTCTGGGTCAAACTCTGGTTCAAAAAAGAACCTGTGACACACAGTCGAACACTGTGGGGGCAATGGGCCGTATTGAAATTTGCAGCTACACAGCCCCTCAGTCTGGAAAATTTCAACAGCTACAGTAGGACGATGACCCAGTTTTTCCTTCACTGCCTTCCAGGAGATGCATCAACCTTCTAACCATTCAGGAGCTTTTGCAGGGCCCCTTTGACCTCCTTGTTTCGGAGGCTGTAGATTAGGGGGTTCAGCATGGGGGTGATGATACAATACAGGGTGGAGACCAGGGTGTCCACCCCCAAAGAGTAGCCCGCACTGGGCCGGTTGTAATTCAAGTTGATCATTCCAAAGTAGAGGACGACTGTAATCAAGTGGGCAGCACACGTGGAGAAGGTCTTTCTCCTTCCAGTGTTAGAACGGATTTTCAGAATTGTGGAAAGGATGTAGATATATGAAATCATGACAATGACAAAAGGGCACAGACCCGCAATCGCACTTGCTGTGTGAAGAGCCACCTCATTAACATACGTGTCACTGCAAGCAATTTTCAAGAGCGGGGGGACATCGCAGAAGATGTGATGGATCTGGTTGGCTCCACAGAAGGCCAGATCGGTGGCCAATGCTGTGTGAATGGCTGAGTCGAGAAGGCCCCAGACCCATGAAGCAGCAGCCAGAGGGACTCGCACCTTCCTACTCATGAGCTGA